CCTCTGCTAAACTGGTTCTAAATGTAGGAGAAGTCACTCTTGGGAAAGAAAGTAGGAAGAAAATGGAGAATAGGCATAGGATGCAACAGAATACAAACATTTTAAGGGCTGTGTGTGCTCTGCTGAATTCTAGAGGGGGCAAGGTCAAGGCTCATATTGAAAATGAAGTCTATGACATCACCCAACATGGAATAGGAAAAGATTTGGATACTTCTTTTATGACTATTCTGCCACTTGTTCAGAATTGCCTAGAATTCAAGTAGGAAGGATGCTCTCTTATCATCCATGTGGAATCAAGGATTCTGGTTATCTTTGATTTATACCCTATCACCATTGCCACCAATTTGTACTGAGAAATGGGGCCTCCTGTGTTAAAATGGACTTGCGTACTGCTCTGCAATTCTTCAAAGACATAGACAACCCTAGAGTAAGATCTCCAATAAACCCAAGGTTGCTGGATGAAAGGCCTGGTGAGAACATGCAAGAAGAACTCCATGTGCAAGAGCAGACTGCTGCTCTTTTTGACCAGACAGAACGCACAACAATGACAGAATTTTCCTTTAGTGAATCCAAAAACGTTGAATATAAATCATTTGAAACAAATAAGTTGGTACAACGAGTTAAAGAGGTTCTCCCTCTAACTGTTTCTGCATTTGCCAACACTGATGGAGGATATTTGTTCATTGGTTTGGATGAAAAAACAAAGCAAATTACTGGTTTTAAAGCAGATGAGAGCCAACTTAGGGAGCTAAAGTGTGAAATAGAAAGGTGCATCCAACAGCTTCCTGTCACTCACTTCTGTGAGGAGCAGGAGAAGATAAAGTGCACATGCAAATTCATCCCAGTCCACAGACCTGGAGCTGTGTGTTCCTATGTCTGTGCACTCAGAGTGGAGAGATTCTGCTGTCCTGAATCCTGGCACGTGGAAGACAACTGTGTGAAGAGGTTTACCACAGAGGAATGGGTCAAGAGCATGATGGAAAGCATGCCAGGGTCCGGAAGGGAAATTAGCAATTAGAATACATTTAGATAGGGGAGTTGGGAGAGTTTCTCTTTGGGATTTGGGGCAAGTTCCTCAGTCCTGACTTTACTCAGTGATCCACAATGGAGCCCTGGAGTCTCAACTGCTTCTGCCACACACCTGGGGCAGAGATTCCTTTCAACTGGTGATTCCCTGAACTGCCTCTACTTGTGTAAAGACAACTTCAACATCTCCCCACTTGAGCTTCTCTTCAGGCTGTAGGCATTTCTTTCAGCAACCCTTCCCTCAGTTGTTCGCTGTTTCACTCTCCACCCCTTTCCACTGACTTCTCTCCCTAAACCTTCTTCCCTTTTAGTTACATTATTAGACTTTATACAGCCCAAGAGTTTATGATGAGTAAAGTACCTTGCTGTGTGTAGAATATATTTTTAAGATGTGTTACATTTGTTCATGCTGTGGAACATTTGATTAATGATGAAAGATATGTTGCATTCTTTTATCTTGCTTTTGCTTAACACTTTGAAGCTGTGTGACTTTACCTCTCTAAAACATCTGATGATCCAATAAAGAGCTGAACAGTCAAAAGCAAGGCAGGAGAAAAGATAGACTGGGCTTGCAGTCCGATAGAATAAATAGAAGGAGAAATATGAAAGGAAATGAGGAGGAGGAGCAAGAGAAAAAGGAGAAGAGAACACTAGGGTCCAACCACCCTGCCAGCCACAGAGTAAGAGTGAAAGTAAGATTTACAAAAGTAAGAGAAAAGTAAAATCCCAGATCTGAAAGGTAGATGGGGTAATTTAAAGTTTAAAAAGGCTGGCAAGAAATAATCAAAGCTAAGGCAGGACATTTATGAGTAAGAATAAGACTCCATGTGTCATTCACTTGGGAGCAGGGTAGTTGGCCCCTGAAAAGAGCAAAAACAACCATTAACATATTGGCATTCCAGTGTAGGGAAATTTCCAATAACACTGGTTTGGCAGGTTTGCAACAGAAAAGCCTGTAATGAGTCTAGACCAGCAACAGCAACACTGATTCTGCAAAGTTCCCAGCAGCTGTTGCCTTCTCCTCCCAAGCTCACTGCTGCTTCACCAGCCTCCCACCTATGTTTTCAATAAATGGATTGAGAAATAAATGAAAACCTCAGCAATGTGTTCACCATAAACAATCTTCTTTGTGAGAAACTGTCCATAGATTTGGGCCCCCAATAGCTCTAGTTTTGACTGAGAAAGTTTTGCTTAAAACGACAAACTTCCTATGGAAAAATGGACTAGTACATTCCATTTGGACTCCAGGGTCCAAAGCCAAGGCTGCCCGACTCTAAAGTCCACATCAGCCTGTGTATCTCTCTGCCTCCCTGGACAGCACAATAAGTGACTTACAACTCCATGTTGACAGTAATTGTAGGAGTCTGTCAGAGTTCAGCTCCAACCTGCCAAAGAGTCCGTTTGGCTCCCACCACAGCTGCTCAGCTCCAAGGAGGAGGAGGAGGAAGTGGCAATCTGTGGTTCGAGAGTCTCAGCATGGTCCCCTCAGGCCCTGGGGGACTCAGTGCTGGTCGGACTTCGCCTCCTGTCATCATCTGTCTGCCCAGGACCTCTGTGTCCTGAGGTCCTGAGGGCTCTCTCATGCCTTGCACTGCATGGCTCGAGTTGCTGCTCCCCTGACCCCCCCAACCCCAAGCTCTCCCGGGCATCCCTCAATTGACACTGG